TTGTTGAGAACAATCACCCGTTTACCAACTTTTTCCATGTTATTCAGATGTTCTAAAGTCTTGTATAGTAAAGTGAATTTGTTTATGCAATGTTAAAAGCGATACAGTTTATTAAATTAACTGAATAGTTCCGGTACTATTGTTGGAAGTATTATCTAAAGTCTGAAGGTTTAATAAAAAGGATTCATTTTTAATTTATGAATTTGGAGCCGGCCAGGATTTAAGCTGTAGAGCTTTAAACTGCTCTGCTCATTCATCTGGATTCTGCTTCACTCTGCTTTATGTAAATCACTCAGATTTACATAATTGTATTGTGGAGTTGGATGAGCCATTTAATCATTTGGAGTTTGCACAATGTTTATCCTCTTGTAACAGTTAAATAAGAGCAGATCAAGATTGATAAAGCTGCGGTGTCCTGTCTGCATTAAGGCATAGTGTTTCACATACATAACCCTTATCTGATCATGTATGTTTGATATCTTTGGCGGGGCTTGGGTTGTTATTGAACATGGTAGATCTGAGACTCCGATTTTTTTTTTTCTTTTCTCTATAGATCGATGGCTCCACGTTGAGGACTATCTGCATGCAGCATGGTCCCCTGCTGACCTTCCACCTGGGCCTCACCCAGGGCAGTGCTCTGATTCGTTACAACAGCCGGCAGGAAGCAGCCAAGGCCCAGAGTGCTCTGCACATGTAGGTTTACCCGTCACTCCACCGGTACACAGACATCAACAATGAATAATCTTGTAAAAATGTAAAATCATGCGGTCTTAATCTTCCTCTCAGGTGTGTTCTGGGCAACACCACAATCTTGGCTGAATTTGTGAGTGAAGAGGTTGCCCGCTATTTTGCACATTCCCAAGCTGGGGGAGCGGAAGGGGTCGGCTCAGGAGGAGCAGCAGGCAGCGGCGGGGCTCCTGGTTCATCTGGAGCAGGCACAGCTGTGGGCAGCGGTGACCGCAGCTCCCCGGGGAGTGAGCGGGCAGCGGTGGGCGCATCTTCCGGAGGGAATGGAAACGGTGGTGCAGGAGGAGATAGCGGAGCTGGGGTTCTAGCTGGCGTGAGGTCCTCTGGCTCTGCGTGGCAGAGTCTCGACGGTACAGGCACCTCTTCGGAAACCTCCTCAGCCCAAGGACCTGGGCTCGCTATATTTTCCCAGTGGAGTACCAATGGGGCAGGGGAGGGAGGAGGTGCTGGGGGAGTAGAGCCTGGGAGATCTGGGCTATGGGGGGGGATGAGCACAGGATACTCAAGCAGCAGCCTGTGGGGGGCTCCACAGATGGAGGAAAGACACCAAATAGACAACTCCTCTGGATTGTTGCCTGGCGACCTGCTGGGGGGAGGAGCCGATTCCATCTAATATGCTCCCTCCATTTGTACAAGTCGGTTTGGACACACTGATATGGCATACACTGGGATACATATGTACTTACTATGGCACACATATATACATTTACATGGTGTGCATATTAATGTACTGAATACATATACACATGCATACTTGTATGCATATTATTGTGCACAGATATACAGCAGAAATGTGAGACATGCTTACACACATTCTCATGGCCAGACTTAAGCTATTATTAAAAAAAACAAATGCAGGGACTGTTAGATGTGTATTCAGCCTTTTTTTCCACAGATGAAGATTTCAACTGCTTAGACTTGAAACCTGAAAAAGAATGAACAATCGGTGAGTCTGAAAGACTTAACTGGATTGCAATGTGCTTAGTAAAGTAGGGGACTTTTTAAACCGATTTACATGAACATGCACACACCAAATACAGAGAAGCCTTCAGACAGATAGGCACTGTCAACAGCATTACCTTCATTACATGAGAATTTAAACTACTACAGAGGTTAAAATGTGCAGTTTTGTATTTACATCCCGTTAAAGACAGAGATTGAACCCAAACACATGCAAGCAGCTCTGATTGACAGCAGAACTGTATCTTACGGTGTATGTTTATTTTCAGTTTGTAACTATGGTTTTAATTTTGGAGCAGTGAAAAAAACTTTTTTTTTTTTTTTTTTTTTGAAACGTCATTGATTTGTTTTCAAAATGCTGACCACCTACTGTTGTATCTCGCGCACTCTTTTCTGTTATTCGTTCTTGAACATGTTTGTTACTGCTGCAGTGATACGTGTTAAATTGCTGGCAGTTTCAGGCTATGATGCATTTCTCCATGTGTCGATGCCGCTCTCCACGTGCGGTGTCCTACACTGAGTATGAGTGAGACTGAGACCAAGTTAAGTGGATTAAACCACCACAGTTGTGTGTGTGTGAGAGGTTGTGTGGATAATGTGTGTGCATGTTAATGCCTGTCATAATGTGGGCAAGGCTGCTTACTATACAGAAGGTCTATACAAAAATGTTATGAGTGCATTCGATATACTGCTGTGTGTTAAGAAATATTGGCACTAATGCCTTTTTTTCTTTCTAATTTGAAGTTTTTTTTTTAAGTAGACTTGTCTTTTATATTGTCTGACCTGCAATAATAAAAAAAAAAATGAACATTTTATTGACACAAAGAGCTGAAGGCATATGCGTCAAGAAAATGGACATGCCAAATCTTATCAAATTGTGTGGAGTGGGGGAGGGAGGGGTGGGATGGGTTGTTTACAATTACAGAGTAAGCGTTACCGTACGTTTTTAATGTTTCGTTGTTGTGTATTTGTTTTAAATTAAGACAGGCTTTAACACTCCTGTTCAGTGTTTTCGTTTTGAGATTTTACAAAGGAAACTTTATTTAAACAATGAGAACAAGATTAATAAATAAAGATGAAAGTATTGGCTTCTAAATGCTGTTTGTGTGGTTATTTTTGTGTGAATTGAATGTGATGTATGGAAACCTGACAGTGCCATAATGCAGATGTGAACTCGGCAGGATATATTGTACTGTATGTTAGACTAATGAACAGGACAGAAACTATTTTTTTTTACAAGCTATTGAACTTAAAAGAAACAAGTCTGTTACTCATGTTACTTTACAATATTTATCAAGTATATAGTGCTATAAAAAAGTATCCCCCCCCCCCCCAGTGATTTGTTAGTGGGTTTTTTTAATTTTGTTAATATCAGTCTGGGATATATTGATTATAAACTGCAGTTTTTAAGTTCTCACACTACCTTTACCACGTGACTATTTTATTTCTAGGTAACTATATGTTTTATATCTGAGGTAACGAGACGCGCATCTTCCAAAAATTCTGCCTTTTTAATTCAGAATATTTTCCTGTGTGTCTTGGGGATTGTCACAATGTTTTTTTGGGAAATGTGAGGATCTCTGTGTTCATTTGCTAGTCTGGGTTTTTGGCTGTTTTTTTGTTTGTTTTTTTTAATAACACTGAACAACTGGCAATAACGTTGCACCAAACCGCATCTGTGACAACTAATATAGCTAATATTAGCTTGTGACAGCTAATATGTTTATTTGTTACTGCTGCACTATGTGACTGTATCATGTATGATATGTCTCTACCTGGCAGCACGGTGACGCAACTAGAGCTGCTGCCTCTCAGCAAGAAGGTTGCCGGTTCAAATCCCGGTCCGGGTGCCTTTCTGGGTGGAGTTTGCATGTTCTCTCCGTGCATGCGTGGATTTTCTCCGGGTACTCCGGTTTCCTCCCACAGACCAAAAACATGCATGTTAGGCTGATTGGTAACTCTAAATTGTCCCTTGGTGTGAGTGAGAGAGTGAATGTTTGTTTGTTTCGTTTGTCTCTGTCCCTGTGATGGACTGGAGACCTGTCATGGGTGTACCCCACCCCTCGCACAGTGATTGCTGGACATGGGCACCGGCGACCCCTGTGACCCAAAAATGGAAGAAATGGGTAAATGTATATATATATATGTATATATATATATATATACTTGTATATAGTGCATTTTAGCTTATATTACTACCTTGAAATATTTATTCATTCCAATTCATCCTGCTGCAGCGTTATATTCTACCATGTTTTTTACTATCTCTCTTTAGGACGTTGTAAATATTACTTTTTCACTTTTTGGGACTTTATTTTTGTACCCTTATTGCATACTTTTAGTATTTCTTATTTGTTTATTTATTTATTTTTAGCGAGTCAGTTCTTGTCATCCTAATCATTTCATTGTACTGTTAACCTTGTGTTAACCTGCATATGACAATAATCCTCAGCATCAACCCTCAGCATCAACCCTCAGCACCATAACCCTCAGCACTGGCTCTCCTCAGGGATGTGTGTTGAGTCCTCTCCTGTTCACTCTGCTCACATATGATTGTGCACCTACACATCCAGAGAGGAGTTGTCGATGTGCTCTTGAAGTCATTTTGGTTTGTGGTCACTCCTAGGAAGGTTCAGCACTTTGTTCCATATATTTTCAATTGCTGTTTAATTGATTCTTGAAGTGGTGTGAATCAGGTCTGGGTGTGACTAGTAAAGCTGAACTTAGCTTTCCAAACAGTGTGGGTTAGTCACAGTTAAAGAATTTAACAAGGGTCAAATATTTTAGTACTACCCTAGTATTTTGACATAGGGCCAGGCTGGTTTAGAAAGCATTTTTTTTTTTAATAAATTAAAAAAAAATGAATTTTGTATTTACTCTGCTCATTTTTATTTGATACAATTAGTTTATCTGTGACAAACGCAAACTCAAGACCTCTGTATGAGGTAATACGTTTTAAAGCTGCCCCCCCCCCAATAACGTACCCCCCTTACAGTCCAATAATGTCAATACAAACATTTAACAGACGTCTTTCTTTCTCATGTACGCAATATAACATTACAGCAAGACATTCCGTTAGAAATAACTCCACCTTTGCTCTCTAAACAATGTCACTCAACATATGTGGCGTGAAGAAACTGGAAATTCAATGAATGGTGAACCTGAGGGGAGAGGGCGTATTTAGGCGTGACGTTCCCCTTTAATGATGTTGCCCTGACATGCAGAGGGTGACGTCATGGACGTTGCGAACATGCACGTTGTTAAGTAACGAGACTGGAGAAGTGGGCGGGGACACGGAGTCGAGTAGAGAACAGCCGTCACAGCTACTGGAGCTTCTCAGGGACTATCAACAGCGAGCGCAACCCGACGACGGAGCTTAGAGCTGGGGGTATGAGAGCTGCCAGAATCCGTTCCCATCCACCTCTGGACGTCTTCCTGTCCGACTGACAACCATCGGATCAGAACCTCCACTTAACCAGCTGTTGGAGGAACCTGATATCTGGTGAGTGTTGGTTCGGGGAATCGGCGAAACTAAGGGGGAAAAGGGGCCCGATTCGACCGAATCGGAGTCTCCTATACACGGCTTACGGGAGAGGGGGAGGGGGCAAGTAGTAGTAAAGGCTACCTACACGGGCTTGTTTAGAGTATATAATGTGTAGGTTGTGAACATAATACAAAATGTGGCTTCATATGATTTTAGTATCAAGCTCTTAACATTATTTTAAATTTACAGCGGAGCAGTACGCATCAATGTTTTTGTTAACGTATATCTACTAGCTTAGCAGCTAACGGTTAACTTACGTTAAATTCCAGCGTTTTGTGTTTTTAATTCAAGCTAGTTATGACGCCAATGACTTGTTAATGTCATAATTGCGTATTTAAAAAAAAAAAAGAGAGACAAGCGGTTTATAACATTGACGAAATAATTTTACGTGCTGATTGAACCGCTATAAAATTTTTCCGTTGTGTTAATTCGTAATGTCTCATCATGCATTTTAACGTATAGGAAACATCGAATGCTAGGTTTTCAGTGTTTGTGTAGTGACAGCTGTGAGAGGCGTAACACTGTTTCCTGTGATTGCGAAATATTTAAGCTTTGAGTTTCGGACGCTATTCTGTTAAAGGGCTACATTCACTTCCATTTGTATAAGTAGGATGCATGTCCAGAAACACAAGCGCTTTGCCTCTTCAGGTCATCTCTATGAAGTATAGGAGCTTAAACAACAACATATCTTCTCCTTGGAACATCATGTCTCAACAGCTACGATAAGACTCCCCCCTTAACCAACAGATGTGTACTGTACAGTCTTGACCAATCCACTCTCCTGGCTGTACACGATTACTACCTAATAGCACATGTTGTTTTCCCCGTGCAGTGTGACAGGCTAATTCCTCCTTGCTTCACATAGGCTAGCTCTTAAATATCAAATGATAAATTTGCCTAAAAGCTTGCACTATGAAAAGATTAACCCATAAAGTATTTTTTACAATAGGTCTATGAAAGCTCATTCTTAAGAATTCAGTGGCCTGGTGGGCTTTATGTATCACTGTTCCTGTGTTGAGCTATTCCTTCAGTAGATTTGTGGTAAATGTTGCTCCCTGAAGGTGGTTTTTGAACATAGCACACCAGGCTTACTATGGATGCAACAAACTCTACTAACTCTTTATTAACCCAGATTCACATGCATCTGTCTCGTTGTCTTCTGTGGCAAGCTGTCCTCATCAGGTAGAGTCCACTACAAGGTACTGGGCATTCAATTAACAGTACATTTGATAGTTTAAATGTTTTCTGATGAAATGAGCATGCCAAAAATCTTGATTGTATCCTTTAACTATTTATCGCTCAGAGGCGAAAAGATTGGGGTTAATTTAACTCGTGTCTCTGTTCATTTGTCTGTTGTCATGTTAACATGACATCTCATGAACCAATAGATGAATTGTATAAACCTGTCAAAGCAATCATTCGGTGTACTTCTACTGCGATTAATTTTTGGAGTCACCTCAATTCAAAATGGCAACCACAGTTAATCAAAAATTACCGTAGTCAACTTACAAATGGCTTTACCTACCGCCGTGAATTTTTTTTTATGTTCAGCTAAAATTTGGTGTGATAGTAGTTACACATTATTTCCTACACAATCTAAGCACTATGCATTGCACTATACCTTTGCTTAAAACTTGGGCATTAACCATTTGGCAACACATTTTTGTCTGTTAGCAAAGTAACTCATGACCCACTTAAGAGATATTAATGAAACTCTCGGAAAATTATATTTATACATCTACAACTGATTTAACTTTTAGAGCGAACCCAATTCAGGGCAGCACGGTGGTGCAGTTGGTAGAGCTGTTGCCTCTCAGCAAGCAGGTTACCCTGGTTCAAATCCCGGTCCAGGGGCCTTTCTGGGTGGAGTTTGTATGTTCTCTCTGTGCATGTGTGGGTTTTCTCCGGGTACTCTGGTTTCCTCCCACAGACCAAAAACATGCATGTTAGACTGATTGGTAACTCTAAATTGTCCCTAGGTGTGAGTGAGAGAGTGAATGTTTGTTTGTCTCGTTTGTCTCGATGTGTCCCTGTGATGGACTGGAGACCTGTCCAGGGTGCAGTGTTGCCTGGTGAGAAATGTAGGATTATCGTACTAGAGACATAAAATTATCGTATTTTGAGGGAAATTATCGTACACCCGTCATAACCAAAATAATAAATCTATTGATGCACTGTAGTAGTGATGAGTCCGCTTCCTGACCAATTCTGCTTCTTCTTCTTTTTTCTTTTCCTCACTCATGGGGCGGTGCAGCGGACTATTCAGCCAATCATGGCCGTTGTTCTGAGGCAAACGCATACACGTCACTCGTAGGTTACATTTAGAAAAGCACGATTGCATGCATCTGTTTGCGGACACAGATGCCTTCAGGGATCACAAAAAAATTCCAACAGATAGTTGCGACAGGCTGATGACAACTGATTACAACCACACATTCACGGAATGGTCAAATTATCATATATTTGGCCTTTTTTGGAATTACTGATCGTACATCGGACAGAGGGCAAAACTGTCGTACAAATATGATAATTATCGTACAGGGTGTACCCCGCCTCTCACACAGTGATTGGCTGGCAATCCCCGCGACCCAAAAAAGGAAGAAGCAGGTAAAGATAATTGATGGATGGATGGAGTGAACCCAATTCAAGATGATGCCACAGCTAATCAAACTCAGTCAACACAAAAATAGCTATAACTGATCATTTTACAGATACTGAGCTACGGTCTGGTGTGATAGAAGCTGCGAGTCATCCCCACATATACTCCAATCAGAATGCCTTTATTGTCATTATACGCAAGTACAATGAGATTGAGAGCCACTCCTTTTTCAGTGCAAAACATGCTTAAAAAACGCACTAAAAAATATAAAATGTAACCTCAAAGTGCTAACACATCTAGCAAGTTTTCACAATATTCCACAAGAGAGTGCAAAGCATGATTTACAAGATCAGATGAAAATTACTAATTCAATTCCTTCTCATCATAAGATTGAAACTCTGGCATGAATGATAGTGGATGATGTTCCTTCAGGAAAAGCAAGATTTTAGCATGAAATTGGGGTGCACAGCTTTTTTTTTTTTTTTATCCCACAATAAACAGGGCAATACTATGAGCAATAATTGAAGTTGCCATATTAAAACCATTAGGTTGGAACACTTGAATGAACTGATGTTCTTTTTGCTTGAGTTGGCTCAGAAAGTAAAATTGTTTTACAGCCAAGTTGCCATAAAACTTTTTTAAGAGTTATGAAATGAGGTCACTATTCAAACTAACTCATGCATGGGTAAAGACAGTTCAGTATTAGCTTGTATGTGTTGCCTTCATTCAAGCTGATTTGGATGCTCATTCTGACTGCGAGTGTTACTTGGAGATTAGCAGCACTGCTTTTGGACAAAGGTTCATTGTTCCTCGAAAGGGTACATTTTGTTGACATGGCATTCCCAAACAAGTGTTAGTAAACTAGTGTCTAATAAAAAATACTTTTCAATGGTGGACACTGCAGCTCTTGGTTTTATGAAGTTCATTATTCAGAAAAGTCTTGAGTGTTTTTGACACAGATGAAGCCTGCCAGTGCTCTGTGTCTGCCCATGCCTTCCCTCCGTTGCCAGTGCCAGCCCAGAGCGACAGAAAGCTCAGTCTTGCCTTTCCAGTGGCTGCTCGGTGCGGCGTGGTGGAACAACTACTAAATAAATGATGATCTTCTTTTGACATTATGTGCCGCTCGGCTCAAAAATGCATTTTATGTCCTTGTGTGTCCTGAGTCCACGTACTCGTGCAGCTCTAGTCTCCTTCCCAGTCATTTTCTGAGTGGCATTTGCATCTTGCCCTCATTTGTATTTCATTCTTCTCCCTTTCTCGATTCTGCTGAGCTCAGAGTAACCCCCACCCTTAGCTTCTCTACAAATCTTATCGTGTTTCTAAAGAACAAACAGCTGTTCTCTGATTAACTAGCAAAGTTCGTCCTCTCCTAAACATGTGGTCAGTGTTGCTGAGACTGACGCATACGATATCACGTGTCATGAACAGCCAACAAACTCATGTTTTCTCATCTCACCTCACTGGGAAAGTATAGGGAACATTTTTACTGTTAAACAGTTGTATAATAATTAAGAGGAAAATGGTGAGCTGCATAGAATGTGCTTTATGTTATAGTTTACATTCATATGTCGTCTGTTGTTGACAGTAACTGCTTGCAACCATGGAGCTGAGAGTGGGGAACAAATACCGGCTGGGGCGAAAGATAGGGAGTGGCTCCTTTGGAGATATTTATCTTGGTAAGTAGAAATATTCATTTGTCTCAGGCTTTTTTTTTGTTAACCATACATGAGCAGCCTCTTTTCACACTAAATGAATAACCCTCCTAACCCCTACCTGGGCACTAAACTTGAGTTTTCCCACTATCTTTTTATATGATCATTGCCCTGGTCCTTGCATTTGGTTTTATTACAGTTGTGGATGTATTTTTAGGTGCCAACATTGCCACTGGTGAAGAGGTTGCCATCAAGCTGGAATGTGTGAAGACCAAACACCCACAGCTGCACATTGAAAGCAAGTTCTACAAAATGATGCAAGGTGGAGGTAAGCAAGTAAAATTCAACATCCATACATTATCTTTTACCCACTTCTTCCATTTTGGGTCACGGGGGTTGCTGGTGCCCATGTCCATTCAATCACTGTGCGAGGGGCGGGGTACACCCTGGACAGGTCTCCAGTCCATCACAGGGCCACATAGAGACAAACGAGACAAACAACCATTCACTCTCTCACACACACCTAGGCACAATTTAGAGTTACCAATCTGCCTAACATGCATGTTTTTGGTCTGTGGGAGGAAACCGGAGTACCCGGAGAAAACCCACACATGCACAGAGAGAAAATGTAAACTCCACCCGAAAGGCTCCAGACCGGGATTTGAACTGGGGACCTGCTCGCTGAGAGGCAGCAGTTCTACCATTTGCACCACCGTGCTGCCCAAAATTCAACATACTTTTCAAAAATATTTTTAAGTAATTTCTTCTCAAATTGTTGGTTCCTGGTTGTATGGTAGAAGCAAAAATACTTCCAAACCTGACAGTTAATTCAGAAAGTATTGGTATGTTTTATCATTTGTTACTGGGACTGTGCTGAATGAATACGTTTGTGTTTTGATCAGTTGGTATTCCATCAATAAAGTGGTGCGGGGCAGAGGGAGACTACAATGTCATGGTCATGGAGCTGCTTGGTCCCAGTCTAGAGGACCTTTTCAACTTCTGCTCCCGGAAGTTCAGCCTAAAGACCGTACTACTCTTGGCTGACCAGATGGTATGACAAACTTTTATTTAAAGTCAGGGGCGTTGAGTCAGTTTTACTTTTCCCTTGTGAATTTTTGAAAAGAGCCATAATAGTGAATATTCCACTACAGTAGGTTATACATGCTCTCTATAAACACTTTTAATGATACCACTCTAGCTGCTTTGATATGACACTTCCATATCCAGTGTATGTTGTGGTATTGGATTAGCTTTAGATTGTGTTGACCTAGATATTTCATAAATATTTGTCTGAATTTAGCCAAGTTGTGCTTCAGTCCTCCATATGTGTGTCTGTCTTCTTTTCAGCCTGAGGTTATGTATGGCCCTCTGTTCTCATTTGGCCAGTTTGCTCCTCTGTCCTTTTTTGTCGTAGTTGGCTCAAGTCATTGATGTACTGAGTGAGACTAATTTTGCTGAGTGACAAATAAAAATATGACTTTGTGGATATTAAACACTTTTTCTTTTCTTTGTTTCTCTCCACTTCAGATTAGTCGCATTGAGTACATCCACTCCAAGAATTTCATTCACCGAGATGTGAAGCCAGATAACTTCTTAATGGGGCTCGGTAAGAAGGGCAACCTTGTGTACATCATCGACTTTGGTCTGGCTAAGAAATACCGAGATGCCCGGACACACCAGCACATCCCTTACAGGGAGAACAAGAACCTGACTGGAACGGCACGCTATGCCTCCATCAACACACATCTTGGAATTGGTGAGATTGACTCAAACCATGCATGAAAATCTTTTTTGCTTCTGTTTGGTTTGACTGACTTTGCTGAGGGTATCACAACCTAAATGTTACAACTAAACTACTAAAGGAAAACAAGAATATTAAGAGAATAGATTTAGTCCAGTTTGTTGTTTTATTTACCATTTGGCTCAATTTTTTTTAACTATCAGGGCAGCAGTCTTTCTTCCCAGTGACAGCTGGCTCTAATGGTGTTAAATGCGATTAATCATAGATCCTTTCTATGACGCGCTGCTGGGGGTGTGAAGTACAGACTGTGTTTGATTTCTTTGTTAATCAGTCATACGGCCTTTCACAAGACCTTGCTGTTATTGAACACAACGGCACAATGCTCACTCAATCTGTCAATAGTTTTTAGGTGTGGCAAATGGCTTTATTTTGTGCTGATGTCATTTCAATGCTAGATTTACGAAGACATTTTTTTATATCAGCACATCATTTGTCATCTTTTATTGTACCAGTTGCACATTAGCAGCTTGGTTAAAGTGTTTGGTTTGGATTTGGGCTTCTTGTTTGACATCATATCTAAGACATGGTGAGCATTTTGTTGTGGGCAAAAGTGACAACCTCAGACATTCCATTAGTTTTATCAGCTTATATGATTTCAACTAATGAATTGGCCATTATTGCACACTTTGCTTTACATTTGTTACAGAATATATACACAACTTGTAATAAATAGTTGTATAAAACCACAACCTTGGTATTAAAATGAGTCTGAACAGCAGATTTTTATTTTTAATTGTTTTTACTTTAACAGATTTTCTTTTTTAAGACTTGCGTGCACTTCTTGTTTCATGTTTACAGAGCAGTCGAGGCGTGATGACCTGGAGTCTCTTGGTTATGTTCTCATGTACTTCAACCTGGGGTCCCTCCCCTGGCAGGGCCTCAAGGCTGCAACCAAAAGACAGAAGTATGAACGAATCAGTGAGAAGAAAATGTCCACACCCATTGAAGTGCTTTGCAAAGGCTATCCTTGTAAGTGACCTGTCTCACCATCTTTATTTATCCTCTGTTTGAAAGCAAGCTGTAATGTAGTCTATTATTCAAAATCAAATAATGAAGTTGTACCGTTTATTCTATATTCATATCTTCTAATCTTTTTGTTGCTTCTCCAGCTGAGTTTTCCACATACCTGAATTTTTGTCGCTCGCTTCGTTTCGATGACAAACCAGACTACTCCTACTTACGGCAACTTTTCAGGAATCTGTTCCACCGACAAGGTTTCTCCTATGATTACGTCTTTGACTGGAACATGCTGAAATTTGTAAGTTTGCAGTTTAAAAAAAAATTGGGTTATAGCGCTCAGATCATGGTGCTTGAATGATTTAAGACTGAAAAATCCTGAGTGTGGTTGATGTACTTTATCAGGGTGCCAGTCGGACAGCTGAGGATGGGGATCGTGAGAGGAGAACAGGAGATGAGCGGGATGAACGGATAGGAGGAGCCCCCAGGGGGTCTGCATCAAGGGGCCTCCCTTCAGGTCCCACCCCTGGAGTTCCCAACAGAGTCAGGAATGGGCCAGAGCAAGCCATCTCTAACCCAGCCTCGCGGGTCCAGCAGTCTGGTGAGTTACCAGCTAAAACATGTACTTTATTAACAAAATAAGCCTTTGTTGACCCTAGAATTTTTCCCCTTTTAATATCTGAATTTGATGTTTTTATTCATTTATATATTTGAATTATTTATTTTTTTAGGTAACACATCACCTCGTGCAATTTCCCGTGCAGAGCGGGAGAGGAAAGTGAGCATGCGTTTACACCGTGGGGCTCCTGCCAACGTGTCATCCTCTGACCTCACAGCGCGTCAAGATCAGTCGAGGATTTCTACATCACAGGTAAGAAAACAGCCGTGGTGTCTTCATTTGGATCAGTAACATACAGGAATTCTTTTTAAAGGTAACCTGTTGGTCATATACTAATAATCACCTTCTTTGTGACAATGATTTGACTTAAAATTTTAACATTTTGTTGTGAGATAATACTACACCACTAGTAACTTCTTAAATGAACATGTTTTAATTTTGAGCTTTTTTCTTTCTTTTTTTAACGCTAATCAGTTTTTGAAATTGCTACTGCTACTTATGACGATAAGCATTTGAGGAACAAATCCCTTAAGGTAGCAGCTTTGTTACTTTAGCACAGGGGTGCCCACACTTTTTTGTATGCAAGACACTTTTAAAATGACCATGTCAAAGTGATCTACCTTCTATAAGGCCCCGTTTACACGAGAACAACCTCTGGAAACATTATTATTATTATTTTTTTTTTTATGTTTATTGGGGGTAATAAGCAGGTTTACATGATAACGCTGGTAGTCCCTCAATTATCACGGGGGTTTTGTTCCACACACTACCGCGTTAGGTGAAAAACCGCAAAGTAGGAATGCTATATTTATTTTCGTATTTATATATATTTTAAGACTTTATAAACTCCACACTCTTGCAATGTTCTAAACTTTTAAACGTACATCATTTTAACAACATACATATATGTACTGTACAGTACTGCAAAATTTTACTCACCAGCTCTGCAGAACAGCAGCTCTGTTCCGGTCACCCTTTGTTCCGGTTCTGCAGACCTACCCTGCAGTGATGAAGCTCACCGCCCCGTCCAGGTTGTTGTGTGCGTGGATAATTGAGCTTCAGATTTTTTGTGACGTACCTGCCAGTTCTTTGAGCTTAATAGATGGCGTAGTTTGCATTGCAAAACTTTCCCTCTATTTTGGCAGAAAGCAGCGGCTGGAAGCACTGGTGGCTTCTGGGTGGTGGTGTTTGTTTGTTTGTTTGTTTGTCATTTTTATTAATTTCATATTTAAAACACAAAAACAATTAGAAACCAAATGAGAAAAAAAAAAACACGTCATAAAATGAAAGGTAGCAGAAGAAGAAAAAATCATCATATCTGCCCCTTGTTTAAAACAAAATCAATTCAAACAATAATCATCTATAAGTAATATAACAAAATAATTAACTCATCACAATTTTACGTATTTATATAATTTTCCAAAATTTTAATCTTAATCATTTTCTTAAATATAGGCAATGACCTTACTTTTTTTACATCGTTTTCCAAACTATTCCACAGACCTATTCCCTGAATTGAAGTAGACTGCCCCTTTAAACTGGTTCTGTACTGTGGTTTAACAAAAATGTCTGTTCCCTTAAGATTATAGCAACTTTTCCTTTTTACAAAATACGTTTTAATGTTTGAAGGTAGTGTGTAGTTCTGAGCTTTATACAGTACTAAAAGAATATTATAGTTAACCAAATCACAAAACTTCAGTAATTTCAATTGATAAAATAAAATACTAGATGGATGACAATAATGCTTTCTTGTGATAATTCTTATAGCTCTTTTCTGCAAAATAAAAATAGGCATCGTTATAGTTTTACATGCTGTTCCCCAAACATCAACACAATAAATTAAATGTGGGACTATAATTGTATTATACAGCAAATACAAGGCTTTATCATTCAATAAGTCCCTTACTTATACAGTACTGCGGTGGATTTAGATATTTTAGTTTTTACAGAATTTTATGTGCTGTTTCCATGACAGTTTATTATCAATAATTACACCCAAAAATTTCACCTCACCTACTCTGCATATCTCAACACCATCAACTCTAAAAGGAACATCGACAGTTATCTTTTTTTTACTAAATATCATATAATTAGTTTTATCAAGGTTCAATGATAACTTGTTTAATTTCAAACCAATTTTGTATTTTGACTAACTCCATCTTCATCAACTCAAACATCTGTTCCAAGTCTTTACCCAAATAAAAGAAAGTGGTATCATCAGCAAAGAGAACACCTTTAAGGATACTGGACACCTCTGTCAAATCATTTACATACAAAATAAACAACTTAGGTCCCAAGTACAGAGCCTTGTGGCACTCCACATGAAATACTGCTTAGGTTTGATCTTACATCGTCTATTTGTACAAACTGTTTTCTGTCTTTTAAATAACTACATATCCACTGCAAAGCTGGTCCTCTAATACCATATTTTTTTAATTTATTAATCAGAATGGTGTGGTCAGTTGTGTCAAATGCTTTTTTTAAATCCACAAATATACTTATATTCATTTGACTGTCGTTACAGTATACGCTTATTGAAAGAAAGAAAACTAGAAAATGGCAGTGCCTGTCCGAAGTATTTATTTATTCATTTACTTTTCATCTTGTACCGTCCCAATCACGAGTAATATTAAAGTTGACAATCGTTGGAAAAACAGCGAAAGAGCGAGTCTGTGAAAGTCAAACCACAAAGTAGAAAGGGACTAGAGTAGTTTCCATGTCAGTCGGGTTGCCAGATAAGAAATTATGAACTATAGTACCGTCGCTTTAAAATGATAGTATTTTGACCTAAACTGTCATGTGCTGAGTAAAATATTCTAAGATGAGGTGTGTGTTGTGTTTGTTGAACATGGGCACAGAAAAGGAGGCGGTAAATAAGACATCTTAAATTTATCTGGCAACCCTGATTCAGGGCTCAGCTGCATTCATTGTGCATGCAGAGTCTGCATGATCACAGTTAATCCAAACTAGTGAATAGACTAACGTCTCTTTGGAACTGGATTTAATTAGGTTTGCTCCTACATGCTGAAAAAGGGTGAGTAGCATAAACACTCTGCTCTCTGCTGTTTATTATAACTGTTGTTCATGCAGAAAAACTTTTGACACAGCCGCCTGTAGTGCACTTGTGCTACTTCACACTTGCAAAGCGTTTCACACCTCCGTGGGGAGTTCCTCCGGAAATCTCCACTCGTTGAGACTTGGATTCCAAAACCTTTGGTTTCAGAGAGAAGGAGGGCTGTTGTTGTGTAAATGAACGGCCGAATCTCAGCAGAAAGGCTGCTGTTTCACGTTGTGCAAACAAGGCCTCGGACTGGCAAGTGACGAATTTCATGGTGAGGATGTGCTGAGATAGGCTAACGCCTATTTTTTTTTAATGCCATACTATCTACTAGAAATGTGCGATATGGCATAAAATTCATATCACGATATGTATTGTGAAGGGTGGCGATAACGAAAATAAAACTGTTCCTACAGCTGTTGCATTTTTTTGTATAATTTACATCTTCCTACTCTGATCAACAAAAACTGTTATTTACTTTAAAAGTACCAGTAAAAGACACTGGGTGTCTTGTGGATTTTTAAAAAACTATTATGGTAAAACTACAGACGACATTAGTCTGTTGGGTTTTAATGTTGTGGCATATTGGTGTGTGTTAATGTTTGGATTTGAGAAATAAGCAGATCGTAATTTTGGATTTGGATTGTGTGAGGCTGCAATTTTTTTTTATTTCATTTTCATTTCAACTTTATTTTTTATTCACACGAAGCTGCATTAGTGGTTGGCTTGCACAGTATTAACAAATCTTGTGATGTGCTAGATATTAGATCATATTGTTGGGATAACAATATAATTGGTGATAAACCCACATTTTCCTCACTTACATCACTTTCTCCTGTCGTTGCCATCATCTAAACCAGTTGTGGGTTAATTGGACATTTGACACTTTACCCATAAGCTGCTGTATTCATACCCATCTGCTCACAACAGACTCATGTACAGGCTGCTGTTATATACACCTTATTAGATTATATTATTGTTTAGCATATATCTTATATCCTTGTATACTGTTTCTTTATATACTTTATATTACTGCTATTTCATTTTGTTCCACCTCATGTACCACTTGTGATGTTAATGACAAAGTTTCCTTGAACCTTGTATTTGGTATTCACAGGTCAGCGTACCATTTGAGCACGTGGGGAAGTGAACCTCCTCGGCTCTGCATGAACATGAATTTAACAGGTGAGGTTTAGCTTCAGTTTTTACATTTTTATTCTCAAATACACAAAACACAGCTTCTCTAATGGCAATCTGTTTCATGTTCCAGGGCTGCAAGGAATATTCTCTGCTATACTTTTTTCTTTCCCCCCCATTTTTTTTACCTTCCGATTGTTAATGGACATAACGGTTTTTGGAACAAGACAATAAATCTTTTCAAAGGTTCAGGAAAATACACAAGTATCCAACATGCATTCTTACCTGGATCGTCTTCGCCTGACCTCGGATCAGCACCACCGCAGAACATAAAGCAAACGACAATGCTGCACCTTGACAGTTGCTCATTCCTGCCCTGCTTTTCCTGAAAACATTCCCTCAATACTTTAACAAAAATGACAGACTGTTGGCATAAAGGAGGAAAAAAAAGGTTTCAGGGACACGCATGTTTTATCTAAAGTTGATACAGACTTGGTAATATGTTTGTTTTTAAACCACAAGTCACTTTTCCATAAAGGTCTTTTTTTTTCTTCACACAAAGACCTGTTATATCAGAGTTTGTGTTTTTTCTTTTTTTTTTTTGTGATACCAGCTAAATGGAAAATGAACATCTGTAGATGAAGTACATATAGATGAGAGGATGACAACAAGAAAGACTTTTTAAAGGATAAGGAAGTAAAATGTTTTAGCTGGTGTTTGCTTGCCCCTTGTTCCTTTTGTGTTTTATTGTTCAAATGTAGCCATCAAACTCTTCAGCACATTTTTCTTTGCTTGTTTCCTCAACTTTTTTTTTTTTAAGGGTAAAGTATGATTGTGAATATTTGAAGGACACACTCCCAGATCTTGAGAGAAGCTCCTCAGGAAATTCTCAGCAGAGACCTCAGCTGCCCGCTTCAGTCAACAAACCGAAGATGCAATTTTTAAGATATTTCTTGTGGTTACCTTTTTTATTCTTTTGTTATGAAGAGGGGGCTGACTCTGTTAGAAGACATTTGGGAGGGTTTGGGCATCTTTTTTTTTTTTTTTCCTTTTGTTTACTCCACTGTAAATATTTTTTATTTCAATGTAAAGCCAAATGTGGTTATTTGTTGTAAAGGTGTAAAGTAGAAAAATGCATACTTATGAAGAAATATGGTTTGACTCAATAATAAACTTGGAGATAGGTGATTGTTGCAGTGCCAGCTGGGTCATCCATAAAGTGTTGTGCGTGTGAAGACAGTCACTTTCCGTATGCATTTAAATTTTAATATGTTCTATTTATTTGAGGCATTTATTTACCTCTTTTACCTTGTAACTTTGAGCATCATTTTGCTTATATTCTTTCTTTTAAACCTGTTTTACTCATATCATACTCCAATATTTTGTACCTTCAGTATTTTTTTTTTCAGCAAGGATTAAATTAGATGTCAGATTTTGCATTTTAACCTAATGATCTCATTCAAAAGAAATCATAACTGTGTGAGTGTGTGTGTGTGTGTGTGTGTGTACATAGCAGTGTGTGATGTGTAGTCACCTTTGTACAGGCCATGACCCAGTGGCACTCAAATCTGTAGCATTTAGGGAATGATGTACAAGAGGATGAGCCGTGAGGGGATTTAACTTTGTGTATTGTGTACGGATATCCTGTACAGTTCTTTAACACTATTTACAGTATTTGTGTATATTTTATGAAGTAATAAAAATTGAAGGAAAAAAGGTTCCTCACACGACCTTTTTGCTTTATTTATGGAAGTTTTGAGGTGGGTGGTGGTGGTTGGATTAATCCCGAGTGCGCATGCGCCGAAGCTGAGCGACTGCTAACTACTGCTGTTGGCTGAAGAGAAGTAACTGAGCGGTCCGTCAGCTTTTCATTGGGAAATGCCGCAATACGAGTAGTATTTTTTCCCCCACGGATTTCATATGTTTTATTTGGACGAGTGATCTACCGAAAGGACATTTTCACATCGTCTATTTGAAGTGAAGCGTCGGGGGAAGGGCTTGCTACTCGGGCTAGCAGCACGGCAGCGCTCGCTCAGCTGCCCGCACTTCAAAGCTTTTACACCGCGGGGGCAAGTTTCCGGGGTTCGGACTAATGCGGTGGCTACATACGTTTCTGGTTGTCGCCTGGTAACTTTCTGTACTCTCTTAAAAGACTGGAGGTCTGCGTGAGAAGATGAGCTAAACCCCGCTGCCTGGATTCGAACCAGCGGCAGGTCGAACAGCTGCAGAGGAGGTAAGGATGGAGGTTTTCACTTCTTTTTCCTAACGCTGGATTTGTAAATATACAAGTACTGTATACAGATTTGACTCTCCTCTCTAATATCTGATTTATAGCGACACTTGGTGATATTTAAATTACTGTTGTAAATAAAAAAATCAGAGCTTCAGACTGAAATCAGTCACAACAGCGGCCTGATGTTTCAGGCAGCTCTCAGCCTGCAGATATAATTCATAAACAGCTGCTTGGATTGAGGTCAAAATACAATGCATGTGAAAAATATTCCCATGAATACCATCAGCTGGATAGATGAGCTCCAGTCTTGCCTAAGGCCTACTGGAAACCCAACCAGTGAGCTGTTATAAACACTGAATGGTGTGCAGATTAGTTTTAAAATTCAATTAACTTTATTCACACAGCGCCAAGTCACAACAGAAGTCATCTCAGGGCACTGAACAGAAAATTACTTTAAATGTGGCAATATATTTTAGCTGAATTACAGTCCTTATATGAATGTTTCAAGCAATGATGCAAAAGATAAGTGGTAGTACCATCAGCTACATAACTGTCAATATCTCCTAAGGTGCAGAAATTCATTTGGTGACTAGTTCGTGATATTGATCATTAATTACACCTTGTTTTCTACTCATGACTGGTTGTCTCTACTGATTTGGCTGTCTAATCTTAAATTAATTTCCCAGCAGTTTCTTTAGTGAACTAGAAAGCCTCCTCTGGTTTGTGTGATCTGCTACGACTGCATTGTGTCACGAGCTTATTGAGTTTCAGGCAAGTGGCATGAGACATCAGTGATCACTCTGAACAGGCCTATATTTAGTCTGTTAAAGGAACTGGAAAAGGGTTTTGGAGCTGTTGTGAAATCAGTTTTCTCTGTCAACAATAAGATTATGGCCTCTCTAAAGTCAGCACCAAGACGCTGACCCAGTTGTTGAGGTACCATAATCCTGTGAGATGTGACTGGATCATTAGGTCTGGATGCTTTTGATGTTCACTGGCTTTAATTTGGCTTCTTAGATCTATGCAAACATGTAATGAGCACCAACTATCTTATTTTAAAGAAATCAGTGGAAATGTTAAAGGTTTTTGCTTTCCATTTATGGAACAGCAGAGTAATTTAGAAGCAGCTTTGTGCACTTTCTAGTGTGAATTTTTGTCAAGTGGCATTTTAATACTTTATTTAGTTTATTTTTAGGTGAAGAATCAGCTGTAAGAGTTTCTATTTGGTATATCTGTTCTGAACGTGTTTCATTATAAAAAACAAAATGGAATGTGGTTTCTCTCCTCACCCACCTACCTCATGGCACCTCCTGTCACCCACCCCCTTGATTTCACATCACATCCGTACAATATCTTGTGCATTTTTTAGATCTGTGCCCTACTTCTTTTTATTTATTAATTTTTTTATATCAAAGCACGCTGGTTTGAGATTTAGGTCGCAGCGGTCTTGCGTGTTTTATTACATGCAACAGAGGATTCTGCAGCTAATTTAGTTGTTTTAAATTGCATTAGTGCCATTATTTTGCATCACGTGAAGCAAATCTTTTTTGACGAAGTCCCCTTTGTTTTCACAGATGAATCAGCTTCTGTGGCGAGACAAGCGCCTGGTGGAAAGGTTGGGAAACAGCTCTCCCAATGTCCTCCCTCCAGGCTCCCCAGTCACCATGGCCCCTCAAAGATCCAACACCTCCTGGGCACCCGTGGATCCAGTGGTCAGACCCGAGGAGCCAATATTCCTCATGACGTCCACAGCTCAAACCATATCAGGGTTTTTTGTTTGGACCGCTCTTCTGATCACATGTCATCAGGTACGATTTTGACATTTCCAGTTTGCTGAGGTATTTAATCTAAGATCTACAGACTGGAGGGATTTTCTGTGATTCTTGTTAATTCTTACACGTCTTTAACATATCATATTTTAATTTAACACATTGATAGATTGGATTAGTTTCTTCATTGGATTAGTTCATGTTGCAGTTTGTGGGATGTGTGCCAACCAGAAGAATGGAGGAGCTGCTCAAACTTGCCAGATTGATTCAGATTAGGTTTATGAGGTTTTATAAATTTATCAACTATGGAACAGCAAGGCGCAACTGGTAGAGCTGCTGCCTCTCAGCGAACAGGTCCCTGGTTCAAACCCCGGTCCAGGGGCCTTTCTGGGTGGAGTTTGCATGTTCTCTCCGTGCATGTGTGGGTTTTCTCCGGGTACTCCGGTTTCCTCCCACAGACCAAAAACATGCATGTTAGGCTGATTGGTAACTCTAAGTTGTCCCAAGGTGTGAGTGAGAGAGTGAATGGTTGTTTGTCTCGTTTGTCTCTATGTGTCCCTGTGATGGACCTGCGACCCGTCCAGGGTGTACCCCGCCCCTCGCACAGTGATTGCTGGACATGGGCACCAGCGACCCCCGTGACCCAAAATGGAATAAATGGGTAAAGATAATGGATGGATGGATGGATGGAACAGCAAACGGCATCTACAAGAAGACCTTAAAGCAGGAGGTATATCATGACTTACCAGTAATTAAATAAAATAAATTGCCCCACAATGAATTGAAACATGGTAATAGTATCCTCATCCATCACATAGAAAATCACACAGGGACGGAAAGGCTTGGTCTGCTTTTCTTGGACGACAGCATATAGTTTACTTATGTTGTTGGTTTGTTGATTATTATTTCAAAAAACAGCCAGGCAGATATGTTAGGTGAATCTTTCAGGGCTTTTTCCTCCAAAATTTATAGCATGTTTAATCCAAACATATTGATATTTTCTTGGTTAATTAAGACATTGAGACTTGTGACAATAAACTCCCTACTGGTTTACAAAAACATCTCAAGTATTTTTTCTTTATTAATTCAGTCTTAGTTTGTCTATGCTAGTACAATCATTAGTCTTTCCTAAATAGCAAATAAAAGTTTAGGTCCATATTATTAATTATTATTGAGCATGCATCAGGATAGTTAGGTCCATATTTTGCTCTAAAGCAAAAGAAGTCTACTTTTTGCGAAATTGCAGGTAAAAATGCAGTACAAGCTTTGATTTGACTTGCCTCAAAGTGATAGTTTTGATCTATTTAAGTTCTGTGGAATGGCTAGGAACAACAAATATCTTGTTTATTGATGACAGCTCTTTGAATGACCTCAGTTTGGTGAAAACAGTTGAATTATTTAAAGAATGACAGCTAGTCTAAACGTGGCCAGGGTCAAAATGCAGTCGTCATTTAAAAAGCAACTCAACTATCAAAAATATCAAAGGGGTTTATGGCAATACTATTTTAAAATCCTTTACAACACTGTCAATGTTCCTTTACGTTGTTTGCTCGGGCATTGCTGTGCTATTCCTGAAGGAAGTTCTCAGGCTGCACCAGAAGTACTACAGCTAGCTGCTGCTCCTACTTTTTGCACTTGATAACAACCATAGGTTTATAGATTTATATTTAAAGAAGCATGTCATGTAAAACTGGCAGCAGTGTAAATGTTTATAAAATAGCATTTGCACAAACTGCTATAAGAATATATAACAGTTCACTTTGCCTTTGGTCCTGCTTAAATTAAGGCTGCACAAAAATCTGTTGGAGTCAGCCTCCCCACCATCACAGACATCTACACCTCCAGATGCAGGAAGAGGGCCGCCTGCATCTTGAAGGACCCCACTCACCCAGCACACACACTTTTTGCCCCGCTCCCCTCAGGAAGGAGGTTGATTAGCATTAAGTGTAGAACCACTAGACTGAGGAACAGCTTCTACCCTGAGACTGTTAGACTCATGAATCTCTAACCAGAATAATCACTGTGAAAAATCACATCATGTTGCTGCTGATCTGTTTCATGTTGCTGCTGATCTGTTTCATGTTGCTGTGTTCATTCGTGCTCATCTGCTCACACAGACTCATGTTCGTGCTGCTATTCGACATAATGTTTTTATGCTATTAGTGCTTAGCGTATTTTTAGTTAATGTTTTTTTTAGTTCATATCTTAGATAGGGATGCACCGATCCACTTTTTTTTTACTTCCGATCCGATTCCCGATACCTACGTTTGAATATCGGCAGATACCGATCCAGTTCCGATATCATGATCATCATTGATTTTATATGAGGCTGTAATAATCTCCTCTCAAGTACAATTTGTACAAATATATGCATGCATGTCCAAAAAGGCAACTTGAGGTAAGTTTTATTAATGTTGGACAAGTTTTAAAGTTAGAATTAAATTCTAACACAAAACATGTTTTTTTTTAAATTCCTAGCTTTAAAGTGGAGATTAAAGTGATTAATTTAAGTGATTGTTTAGTTATTTTATATATTTTTTTAAATAAGGGGCAGATATAAGATTTTTTTTCTTCTTCCTGCACTCTTTTCATTCAATGTTTTCTTTTTGATGATTTTTTTTATTGTTTCTTTTAAATGAATGGATAAATGAATTAAATAAAATGTTAAATGGCTTCAAACATCTGCTAAGTTCATGACATAAACCAACAGACATGTTCCTGTTTTTAGTATTTTACATCACTTTATAATGTAGCTGTTTATGTTTTTAATATATATAATTTTCAAATCATGTTTTTTATGATTGTCTACTGTTGTACTGATAAATATCTCCTGGAGGGTAAACTATATCTTGACTGCAAGTATCAAGCTGAGAAATCCTTTGTTTTCTACAACTGATAGTGGTTGGTCATGAATCATGATGAAGTTTAGCAACTTCTCTGTAAACATTTGAGCTCCGTGGTTTCAGCGACGTCTTCTTCTTGTTCAAACCGAAGCAGGCAGTCTGATTTGGGGCAGCCGTGCTCAGTCTGTCCCTCCTCAGAGACAGGCAGACTGAGCGGGGCAGATTGGACGTGGCTGACCGGAGTCGAGTCGCCTGTTTTGGGTTGAGCAAAGAGCAGCGCCCCGCTGAAGCCACAGAGCTCGAATGTCCATCGTTAAACTAACTTTACCGCGGTTTAATGTGGCGCTATGGCTCTGCAGACATTGCACGTTGCTGCATTGCTTTGTGAAGTTTTTAGTGTAAAATACTTCCACACAGCGGACGTTTACATGAAAAGTATGTTAGCTGTTAGCTACAGTGCTGCTAACTCAGTCCTCACGTTGTAGCTGGCTGCAAACTATGAACTGGATTTCCTGAATGTGAGGTGGGTCTTATTACTCTGGGCTCATGAGACATGCCGCCGTTCAGGAAATCCATTCCATAGTTTGAAGCCAACATGCATCATGGATTGGAAATATCAGCAGGAGGATCGGAAAATCGATACTTAAATTATGCTGGTATCGGAGGCCGATACCGATACTGGATCGGATCGGCCCCATCCCTAATCTTTGATCTCATTACTGTTTTTCTTTTACATTTTATTCTGGGATGTAACTGAAACCCTGTGTACACAATTTTGTTCCACCACATGTACCACATGTGGCACAAATAAAGAAACTCTGACTTTGAAATTAGCCATACGCTCATTATTAGTCCGGCCAGAGTGAAATAGTTTTTATGTCAACAAGTAAGATATGATGTGTATCTGTGGATACAATTTCTACATAACCCCATTTCAAATTTCCTAATAAAACCTACATGTATTTTGTTGGTTTATTTCAGGTTGGTTCTGACTCCTGGGACTGACTCATCTTGCCACTGTGTGCCCTAGAAGGTTTAGCTCTAGCTGCAGTTTGTCTACATGTTGTAGTAACTATAGTTTACCTACAAAGTCTTTAATCTTATTGGTTTTGACAAGTTTAGTGGACTTCAGTTTGAGCTGTCTTTTGGTTTGGTTTATTAATCTCCTGTTAGTGAGAGATATTTATGAAGCGTCTTTCTGAGCAGGAGCTCTGTTATCTCAAGGGCTGGATGTCTTTCATTGTTTGCTCATGCTCTTCACAAATAAAGGTAAAGAATAGCCTTTTGTCACTTAGACAACAGGTGCCTCTGGCTTGACTACTACCTCATCAATGAACAGGAGATGAGTGTTTGTTTGTGAGTGTGTGTGGGGGGTGTGCATGTTCAGCTGAAGGTCACTTAGCAACAATACCTGTAGAGCACTTGCAGGCTTGGTATGCCGTCACCCACTTCTCATTATTTTACCCCAGGTGTGTGTCCGTTTACCTACCAGGAAAGGTGATATGTGCGAAGGACATTGTGTAAGTAGAAAAGGGGGCTGGGTGGAGCAGACAGAGGTGCTGCTGACAAAAGGTTCACCCTGTCCTCGTTACCGTCTGATGCTCTGATAAAAGCTCAGGATCAGTTACCTAAAACAACCCCCTCATGTTTGTGAATGCATGTCTTGGTTTTGTTGGCATATACTGTCCGCACAGATCCAGACTGCATGGAGTCACATTTAGTTTCTGTTTGTTTATCACTCTGAGAGAACTGTGTCACTAATCACATTTTAAATTTGGTGTTTTAGGAGACCTGATCTAAAATTATGTCTGTACTTTTTAACAAGATGCTGCATTTAGGCCTGTGAGCCAAGTATTTTTAAAATGTGTTTTGTTTGCCTGGAAACCCAGGTTAGGTCAACTAAAACAAATGTTTTGGAAACCTTCATGCAGATACTTGGTGCTGCCATAAAGATGGATGAATAAAGACATTTGGACAATGATCCAGACCCCCCAGTTCTGTGCCCCATTGAGTCTGTCAGTCACATGTCTTTCCCTGACTCTTCTCACCCATATTGCTTGTCTGATTCATCTAAGAAATAGACCCTTTGCTTCCTGTGTACACACGCATCACTGCCTGTGTGTGTTAACTAATACCTGACTTACCTATTTTACTGATCTGCCTTATGTTTTATTTTAGATCTACATGCACCTGCGTTACTACAGCTCCCCAAACGAACAGAGACACATAGTGAGGATCCTCTTCATAGTCCCCATCTACGCCTTCGACTCCTGGCTCAGCCTTCTCTTCTTCACCAATGAGGAGTATTATGTATACTTTGACACGATCCGAGACTGCTACGAAGGTAAGCAATTCAATTCAATTCAATTTCAATTCAGTTTATTTATATAGCGCCAAATCACAAAAAAGTTGTCTCAGGGCACTTTACAGGAACATTCACATACATAAAAAAGCCAATTAGTAAAGTTCTCTATCTAAGGAATCCAGCAGACAAGTTGAATCTTGGCTTCGCTGCAGTCTCCCATCCTGAGCAAGCACAGTGGCAACAGTGGAAAGAAAAAACTCCCTTTTAAAAGGAAGAAACCTCCAGCAGAACCAGGCTCAGGACAAGCAGCCATCTGCTTTGACTGGCTGGTTTGAGAGGACAGGAAGGAGAGACAGACGAACACAGAATGGTAGGTCCAGGTGTAGGTCCAGATGTATCTGAAAGACAAAAAACACGTTAGGATAGAAAAAATAATTACAAATACAAAACAGGTTGAGCAGAGTAAGTAAAGACAGTAGCAGAGTGAAGAGTGTGGTCAGTTTGTCCTCCAGCAGTCTAAGCCTATAGCAGCATAACTAAGGGACAGCTCAGGAAACCCAAGCCGACCCTAACTATAGGATTTATCCAAAAGGAAAGTCTTAAACCTATTGTTAAAACTGGGTAATGTGTCAGCCTCACGGACAGAGATTGGAAGTTGGTTCCACAAGAGAGGAGCCTGATAACTGAAAGATCTTCCTCCCATTCTGTTTTTGGAAACTCTAGGAACCACAAGTAAACCTGCAGCCTGAGAGCGAAGTGCTCTGTTAGGAAAATATGGAACAATAAGATCTGTAATATAAGATGGAGCTAGGTTGTTGAGAGCTTTGTAGGTTAGAAGTAGGATTTTGAATTATATTCTGGATTTGACAGGGAGCCAATGGAGAGAAGCTAAAACTGGAGAGATATGATCTCTCCCACTAACTCCAGTTAAGACTCTGGCAGCAGCATTTTGGATCAACTGAAGACGTTTTAAAGAAGCATTTGGACACCCAGATAATAAACCATTGCGATAGTCCAGTCTAGACGTGACAAATGAATGAAGCAGTTTTTCTGCATCATTTTTAGATGTTTCTAATTTTAGTGATATTACGCAGGTGGAAGAAGGCAGTTCTAGTAATGTTTTTAATGTGGGGGATAAAAGACATGTCCTGATCAAAAATAACACCAAGATTCTTAACATTAGAGCTGGAGGACAGATTAATGTCATCTAAGGAGGGAGAAAGACTGAAAAATTAATTCCTACGGTGCTCAGGTCCAGCAGCCAAAGAAACTTGAGAAACACGGATACTTTCATCTGCAGACAAACTACATTCAGGACAATAATCAGAGGGAGGGATTTGTGTTCGGACTCTTGTTAGAAACAAGGGAGTGACAATTTATGTGAAACCCCAGTGGAGCAGCTGGCCTTTGTATCTTCATCTGCAAAGGTTGCCATCTTTTGTTGTCACGTCTCCATGGCCTGTTGGGATTGCAGGGGAGAGGGGTGGACCAGTTCCTTAGCAACTGTGAAAAGGAGCAAGTCCTTCGAAAATCATCTCACCTTTGAACAGATAAACTACAAGTTGAACTTCCAACCCTGTCTGACTATTATATTAAAGAGAATCTTTCATTATATCATCAGCGGTGGTTTATAGAGATTAATGTTAAACAGAGGGCTGGTTTGCTGCTTTCTCTGTTTTTATCAACACAAATTAACATGTAGCACATGAGGCATTAATCCAAACACATGTTATAACACAGTTACTTAAAACTTAATTTTTTTTTATGTTTACTATGAAGAATCATATATTCAGCTTATACATTATTTGACTGTTTCCAAATTTAAATAGCTAAACATTTGGATTGCTAAAACTAATGCAAGGTTTTATTGCCTGGCTTTTTCACACTTGTGACTCACTGCTCATCTTCAGTAATATTTGACAATTGACTTTAAAGACTTTAATTAAGTAATTTTAGACTTCTCTGTTAATGTTTTTTTTTCCTCCACAGAATCTGGAGCCTGATAAATTGTTTAACTCATCAAAGCAACAACTGTTGACTCATTCAAGCAAATAATTAATGATCTTAAAATGAAGTTTAGCTGACTGACACCTACTCATCAGAAAACAGCTCCCAGCTGACAGTGTTTACAGACTTGTGCCTGTAAATGGGCCTTATTGATCTGAGAGACACAATGTCGCCTCTCTGTGGCTCGATGAAGCTGAAGCACCAGAGTCTAATGACCCAGATCAGATCCTGAAAGTCACCATAAATACCTCAGAAAATCTCTTGTGTTCTAACTTCAGGACACTGAGAAAGGCACTGAGTTTAAATTAAAAACTCAAACAAGCTGTTAAGCGTCCATCCAGCTGTCCATCCAGCTGTCCATCCAGCTCTCCATCCAACTGTCCATCCAATTGTCCATGCAGCAGTCCATCCAGCTGTCCATCCAACTGTCCATCCAATTGTCCGTGCAGCTGTCCATCCAGCTGTCCATCTGTGTCTTGTGAGCTGGATAACTTAAAAATACACTGCCTGGCCAAAAATCAAAAGTTGCCACCTAAAGAAGGTCACACACTAATATTTTGTTGGACCACCTTTAGCTTTGATCACAGCAGCATTCTCTGTGTCATTGTTTCAATAAACTTTTTCAATGTCACAAGATCTATTTCCATCCAGTGTTGTATTAATTTTTCACCAAGATCTTGCATTGATGACTAGACACTAGTCATGATGGGTGCATCACTTCACCTGCCTCTCTTCTTATCCTGATGCACCCATCACTCTGGAACAGGTAAATCTGGACTCATCAGACCACATGACCTTCTTCCATTGCTCCAGAGTCCAATCTTTATGTTCCCTAGCAAATTGAAGCCTTTTTTCCAGTTAGCCTCACTGATAAGTGGTTTTCTTAAGGCTACACAGCTGTTCAGTCCCAATCCCTTGAGTTCTTTCACATTGTGTGTGTGGAAATGCTTTTACTTTCACTATTAAACATAACCCTGAGTGCTACTGTTGTTATTCTTTGATTTCATTTCACCAAACGTTTAAGTGATCGCTGATCACGATCATTCAGGATTTTTTTCCGGCCACATTTCTTCCTCTAAGATGATGGGTCCCCACTGTCCTTCCAGTTTTTAATAATGTGTTGGACAGTTCTTAACTCAATTTTAGTAGTTTCTGCAATCTCCTTAGATGTTTTCTCTGCTTGATGCCAATGATTTGACTCTTCTCAAACAGACTGACATCTTTTCCACGACCACGTGATGTGTCTTTCCACATGGTTGTTTAAGAAAAGAGAAGCAACTCATTGCCCCATTTGGGGTTAAATAACTTGTTGCCTGCTGAAAGATGCAGTAATTATCCAAAAGGAGGCTCGTACC